TTTATAGACAATTGGAAGATGATCTCATTCTATTCTGTATAAAACTAGAAGTCAGTTCAGTTACAATGCAAAGAAAATATTTAAAATAGTTTAACCCTTGTCAAATCTTAACACTTTGTTTACTCCCAATGTCGGATTCAAAAATTTTGATCAAAGTGCCACAATAAAACAGCTTGTTGGAATTTTAAATCCAAAATCTACTTTACATCATGAGTTATTTATCAATTAAACTCAATTCAACTCAAATACGCTAGACATTCAGACTCTCATATAAAAGAAAAGAGAGGGAGGAGAAAGGGGAGAAAAAGAGGTGGAAAAGAAAGGAACCACCTCTTGAAATGTGATCCAAACCTGCAAGAAATTAGTGGAAACATATAGAATACAATACACTGACCACAAAAAAGAGGAAGTGTCTCATGGGTTTACAACAAATACATGTATATAAATGTAGAAAGCACAACCTACATGTGTAGATACCCCATAGCTTCAATACCCCAAACACCTACAGAGATAGAGATCACAACCTCTCCACTAATATCTTTTTCCCACTGGCAAAAAAAGCCATTTAAAACCTGGAACAGTCAGCTTTTAGTGGTAGTGGGAACAACTCACTGACCCGTGTCAACGCAAGCGACGTATGTTAAAATCAACTCGACTCTGATCAGCATGCCGGGGTAACAACAAACTCGGGTCGACCAGCTGATTTACGTGACACCATGGAGCACAATGTACGGACGTCAACACACTACACCAGTAGGGTCAGCCCTAAGCCAAAACAACTCTGTCTACATACGATAAACTTGGCACAGCACTGGCGAGACAACAAATAAATGAGCAAAACAATATAGCACATCTACTACGCATTGGCTTCCTTACATGTTTTTCTTCATTGTTTCCTCTCCTGATTTATGTTGCACTGCTGACATCATCAACACTAACCAAGTGTACAGTAATTCCAGTATTCAGACACACAACGGCAGGGGGACAGAGGCAATGCAGCTTGTCAGTGGGGGGTTAGACCCAGCTTTTTATGCCAGTGGGAAGGGAGGCAAATGTTGATTGTTAGCCGGTTGACCCATGTTTAAAAATCCCAGGTTAACCAGCTGGACAGTAGCAGCAAGAACGGACCAGAGGACTCAATGTTCAGACAACCCAGAACCCAAGTTCAGCATCCAACCTAACAGCTTCAGTTAATGCAGGTAGAAGCAACCAATCAGGTTGGAAATCTAGATGTAGTTAGTTACTACTTACCACTTGTTGTACTTCATCAGTATTAGACCTATACTTAAAAGGAATATTAATGCCGTATCTAAACATTATTGGTTAAGATAACGACCGACCTTTTACAATCAGAGACAGGTTTCAGATGTTACAGGCTAACAATGGAACCAAACGACCTGCTCGTCTGCTTCAATTTTCATGTTTCCAAGCAATACAAGGCCTTGTCTATATAAAGCCTCAAACCCAATGCGAATCCAGACATTTTGAATTGAGAAAGCTTCTTGGATGGGAAGCAAAACGTCTTCAAACCTTGGAAACCAAGTCCAGTGGATTGTTTTTTAGACTTCTACGCAATATCGTTTAAGATCTTAGTCTTACTTTCCTTTCATTTTTTATCAATCATTCAATTAATTATTTATTTACCTTAATGCCACCTAAAATGTAATTTTCTTTTTCTCCTGTACAGCACTTTGAATTGTCTTGCTACTGAAACGTGCTGAATAAATAAACTTAACCTTTCCTTGGCTTTAGTCTGCATTCCACCACAACTCCTTAAGGAAAGATATAGCAGCCTACTTTGCATATGCGTATATTATCAGTAAGCAACTGTATTTACATGTGCCAAATTCATTGACCAAAATACATTTTGATTAAAGTAAACCGATATTTAGATTTCTTTTGGAACTGTCAGTTCTTTGACACTTTTTAACTGAATTATGAGATTTCTGTCAGGAAAGCTTGATTTCAGAGATTCTCTTTATAACAGAAGTTATGTTTTTATTTTTCCTTAAAAGTACACTGCTGCACTAAATGTTAATAAAATCCTTAATGGTTAAATAACTATATTTGATATTTAAACATGTATTGGGTAAGTATTTTAAGAGTTTTTTTTCTTATGAAAAGTTTCAAAACTAACTCATACATGTATTATAAGTGGTATTTCATAAGTAATTCTTATCAGCTAGCACCTCCCTTTCATACTTACACCAATCTGTGGCTGCTTTGCCATGTGGGAAATAAATTAACTCTTCATGACGACACATCTTCCTACATCCATTATATTTTAAGATCTTTGTGCTGCTCCAAATCTGACAATGCATCACAAACATGCAAAGAAGTGTTTTTATATATTTGTGTGTTCTCTGCATGAACACAGGTAATGGCTGTGAGATCTTAGGTAAATTTGACATGCCAAGGTTGTTTAAAAAAGGTGACATAATGATCGGGGGAATATTTCCAGTTTTTAACAAAGATGTCAGTAAAGTTCCTACGTTTGAGGGGGTACCTCCTGCCGTGATATGTGCCTTGTAAGTGTGACTGTTTATGTTGCTTTATTCTTATCTTATTCTTACCCTCGTGTGTATATCTAATTTGCAGTAGCAGACATTTACTAAGTAGTGTAGAAAAATGGCTTATATCATTGCAGGTATGACCTTCGAGCTTTTCGGTGGACCCAAGTGATGATATTTGCAATTGAAGAGATAAACAAAGATCTGGGTCTCCTTCCCAATATTACCCTGGGTTACACAATTCTCAATTCATGTTCTTCTCCTACAAATACATTACGTGCTGCACTAACGCTAGCAAGTAGTAAAAATGAAAAAGAAACAGCTTCTAGCTGTTCTCCTATATCTGCAATCATTGCAGAGGCAGGATCCTCTCAGTCTTTGGCAGTTGCAGGGATTCTTGGACCTTTTCAAGTTCCAGTAGTAAGACATGATGCCGTTTCTAAAATTGTCATTTACATTGGTGTAAAATGCTATATAATGCTGCTCTAAAATTAATGTGTTGTCTTTTTTTCTCCTAGGTAAGTTATTTTTCAACATGTGCCTGTCTCAGTAACAGAGGTAAATATCCTACCTTCTTTCGAACCATCCCCAGCGATTTCTTTCAAGCAAAAGCTTTGGCAGCACTAGTGAAACATTTTGGCTGGAAGTGGATTGGAGCCATTCAATCTGATAATGATTATGGGCGGAATGGGGTTTTGGCTTTTACAGAGGAGGTTAACAAGTTTGGGATTTGTATTGCTTTTGTTGGGACAGTTATGCGAACCTTTCCTCAAGAGAAGATTCTGAAAGTCATTGACATGATCAAACAATCAACTGTCAAAGTAATTCTGGCTTTTACTCCAGAGGGTGATTTCTCACCTTTAATGAGAGAGGTTGTGAAGCACAACATCACTGGAATACAATGGCTTGCTAGTGAAGCATGGATAACAGCACCCCAGCCTTCAACCCCTGAAATGTACCAAGCTTTTGGTGGAGCTTTGGGTTTTGTTGTACAGAAGATGGCTATCCCAAATCTACATCCATTTCTGACAGATATTAACCCTTACAGAAATCCTAGTGCACCTTTTGTGAAGGATTTTTGGGAGATAATGGTAGGTTGTCAGCCTGTTTCACATGAAATGGACATTGGTACAGGGGAAAGAACTAAAATATGTACAGGCAATGAGAAATTGAAGGATTACACCCAGGACGTGTTCTTCAATGTCACACAGCTTAGAGTTTCTTATAATGTGTATAAAGCTGT